TAAACAAGTTATTAATTTCTAATATTTTGTAGAGAGCTGTCCTAGGTTTTCAAATTCCGGCAAATATGTGTATGTGTTTTTTTTCCCTACATTTTAATTTTACTTCTCTTAAATGAAAACTTTTCTTTCTGATCTGATACTTCTACATTTTTAAAATACAAGTTTTAGCCAGGCATGGTGGCCCACACTTGTAATTCTAGTACTTTAGGAGGCTGAGGTAAGAGAATTGCCTGAGCCTAGAAGTTCAAGATCAGCCTGGGCAACATAATGAGACCCCATCTCTCAAAAAAAAATTAAAAAATTTTTCAGGAATGGTAGCCGTGCCTGTAGTCTGATGGAGTCTGATGCAATCAGGAAGAATATACTGGGACTGGCCTCTGCCTAGAATGTGGGAAGTGCCCTATTCTCGTAGCCTCAGCTGCTCTGGAGACTGAGGTGGGAGGATCACATGAGCCAGGGAGGTCAGGGGTGCAGTGAGCCATGATCGTGCCCAGCCTGGGCAACAGAGTGAGACCCATAAAGAAAATACAGGTTTCTAGTAGCTTTTTATTACCTCCAGATTCTTGGTTTTTTTGGGTTTTTTGGGTTTTTTTTTCTGAGACGGAGTCTGGCTCTGTCACCCAGGCTGGAGTGCAGTGGCCAGATCTCAGCTCACTGCAAGCTCCGCCTCCTGGGTTCAGGCCATTCTCCTGCCTCAGCCTCTCGAGTAGCTGGGACTACAGGCGCCCGCCACCTCGCCTGGCTAGTTTTTTGTATTTTTTAGTAGAGACGGGGTTTCACTGTGTTAGCCAGTATGATCTCGATCTCCTGACCTCATGATCCACCCGTCTCGGCCTCCCAAAGTGCTGGGATTACAGGCTTGAGCCACCGCGCCCAGCTACCTCCAGATTCTTGCAGAGCAATGCGACATCAAGGCAGAAGATCACTTAGTACATTTTAGGCCATCACCGTTGAGGTATTTCATTAAGTTCCTGACTGTACTGTGTGTCCTGAGGCATCTGACACCGAGAACTGTCATTGCCTTTACTCCAGGAGATTGAAGTGTAAGTCAGACAACTTTGAAGCTGACAGATAACAGAAGAACCTTACAGATCCCAGAATCAGTACTGAACTAGGACAGAAATAACTACTATTGTGATACAAAAACTCAAAGTGTATCCATTCATTCTCACTTTAATATATGTGTCTATCTTACTGTTGGGCATGGGCTGCTATAAGGTACTTTGACTATTAGTTTAATTGTTGCTCCCTGATAATTAAAAAAGGAACCAGTCTGGTGTTCTAATGTTTATCATTTTTAAAAAACATTTTTGAGGTCCTATTGTGTGTCATTTTCTATGTGCTTGGTGCCAGCCATTATGACATTAGTTAGAGTTTAATGTGAATTGGGACTTTTACCACTTTTCAGACAATACAAATACTTTAAAACATTTTAACTCCATTTCCCCCTCCAATGTTTTGTGTTATTTTCATCATTTGTATTCTAAAAATATTTAAAATCCTCTAAGACATTAAAATTACTGATTTTGCAATCCATATTTATTCAGAATTCCCTGGTTTCCTTTTTTTGTTGCTACTCATTCCTTTCTGTATTTCCTTTTTTTAAAAAAATCTGTTGCTAGTCATTGTCCTTCAACTTGAAGAACTTCCCTTAATATTTCTTATAGTTCAAGACTGAAGGTGACAGAGTTTCCCAGCTTTTTTGTCAAAGAAGATCTTTAATTTGTCTTCCTTTTTGAAGGATTTTTTTCTTTTTTTTTAACCGCTTATTGAATTCTAGATTGGCAGTTACTGTCTTTCTGCATTTTAAAGACATTATTCTGTTACTTTATTGCTTCCATCATTTCTGTTGAAAAATCATCTATACAGCTATTGTTCCCTTTCAAGGTAATTCTTTTTCTTCCGGCTGCTTTTTTGATTTTGTCTGTGTATGTTGCTTCTACCCATTTAATTATTGGCATTGATAGGTGTAATTTGCTTTGTATTTATTCTGCTTAGGATCCACAGAGCTTGGATCTGCAGCTTGAGCTTTCATCAGGCTTAGAAAACTCTTAGCCTCTATGTCTCCAGTGCGGCTTCTGTTGCATTCTCTCTTTTTCCCCTGCAGAGAGACTCCAGTTATACATAGAGTTTTTCACCATGCGGTGCCTCCTGTGTTCCTTCAGCTGTTTTCATATTTTCCATCCTTTGTCGTGGGAACCGATGTGCTTCATGATCAACAATCCTCTGTTCGCCTGTGCCCAGCTCGCTCTTATCCCCACGTGTTGAGTTCTTAAATTTCAGTTACTCTACTTTTAATTTCAGAATTTCCAAGTGATTATTAATATTAGATTCTAGTTCTCTGTTAAAATGATTGTCGTCTACTTTATTGAATGTATTCATCCAGGTTTTAAAGTCTTTGCTAACTCCCTATCCACGTCACTTGTTTTTCTCTTGTTCTTGCCTCCTGATGTGCCCCGTACTTTCTATTGAATTTTAGACATCAGATATACAAACTTGCAGAGTTTCTGGAAGATGTTTTCCCTTTCTAGAAAGGATTTCCTTCTGCCTTTGGCAGGCAGTTAGACAAGGGCCAGATCACTTTAAGTCATTCTGGGATTGACATGATTTGGTCCTGAGTTTCAGTCTTTATAAAAGCCCTCTCTACTCTCTTTCTGCTTCACTCTTCACTCTTTCAGTGCCTACCACGATGTCTAACCTATGGAAGGTATTTAGCAAATGCTTTCTCAGTAAAGGGTTCTTTCAGATAAGGTTATCTATATAGATGGATAATGATTAAATTCTCAGCAGTAGTAGTTCAAATTCACAAAGGCTTTTCTCCCCCCGACCTTGCCCCACATTTCACCCTGTTCAGAGTCTGTAGATTCCATGCATTGAATACATTCAGGGGGGCTTGAGGGCTCCCCGAGTATTGGGACACTAATGACAAAATGCAGGAAAGGAAGACACTGAGCACATGGACATTTTTAAGTGGCTTTCAGATTAGTGCTCACCTTTGCCAGCATCCAGAAACATTTTTTATAAGTTCAGGGTTGAATAAAATAGACAAGAGAGTAAGTCAGGAATGCCATACTCTTCTGCAGTCATGACACTTCTAGACCAGTGCTCTGATTGTGGCTCCAGTTAACGTGCTTCCGCACCAGGGTTTTCTTCACTATTTATTCACTGAAGACGTGTGGAAACACATAGGTTATATCTAAATTAGGCATTTTTTTTTTTTGCTATAGAATTAAGCATTAAAATTAGAGTCATATTAGATAATTATTCTGCACAGATGAATACTTGTCTTACCTTACTTACCAGGTGACTGGTCTCTGAATTTAATTATCTATATAGTGAGTATATTTCTCTATTTGAAATTAAAGTTGGAGTTATTTAAAGATTTGGTTTACTGACAGATATCTTATTCTCTTTCAGGTTTATATCTGTCTTCATGCTTAAGATTTGGTATTTCCAATAACTTGAACCAGTGTAACTGCTAGCAATAGTTGATTAGACTTTTACTGGTTTTTCTTTGCCCCAGAAACATATCAGCCCATGTTTAAAGGATGCAAATCCAAATAATTCTTATCTTCATTACCTAACATTATCTAGCTCCAGGATACTACTGGTCAGTCCTATGTGTTTCCTACCTAACATGTCCAAATCAAAGCCCAGTGCAATGTCATCTCCAGACTTTTCTTACTCCCAATTTTAGGGAAAAAAATGTCTCTGAGGCTCCAGCTTCCAGAATGCTGGAGTAGCTTGATCATCAACAGCTAATAATGATAAAATCTGGATTACTTGAAATTATTGGAGAATAAACAGAAGCAGGCAGAAACAATAAGAGTCTACCCTTGTAATAAAATATGTGAGATTTATGAGTTTATGGGTTTTTGTCTGAAAGCGTTCTCCAATCTCGGGGCAAGGATGCAAGCAGAAGCTATCAGAGCACTGAGTTTGATGCCAACAGAGCAACCAGAAAATTAAAAGGAAAATCCAGTTTAAAAAAAATTACTATACATGTGAAGAAGCAGGAAAATGTGATAATTAAGGGGGAAAAAATGTCAATAAAAACAGACGCTGAGATAACCCAGGTGTCACAATTAGCAGATAATGACTTTAAGCAGCCATTATAAATATGTTCAAGGACTTGAAGGTATACACATAATAAATGAACTTATAGGGAATTTAACCGATAAACAGAGCCTATACAAAAGACCAAATGGAAATTCCAGAGCTAAAGAGCTCAATAACTAAAATGGAAAATTTACTAGATGAGCTTAACAGCTATTGGAGACAACAGAGGAAAAAGTCAACGGACAAGAAGATAGATCAGTAGAAATTGTCCAGTCTGAAGAATAGAAAGAAAAAAATTAAAATGCACATTGTAGGTAAAGGCAGGAAGTAAAAGTAGAGCAGAATTGATGTGAAATGCTCAGTGGTAATAAATTCCAGTAATTAATTCTGTGGAGAAAAAAGTTGAAAAATTAAAAATTCCTGGATTTTGAATGTCTAATCCTTAGTGTTTCCTCCAAGAATGAGGGGGAACATATCATCTGATTTCAAAGCAGTGTGTTTTTGGTTAACTTTCCTAAGGTCATTTCTTTCATGTGGCCATACATTTCTTAGCTTCCTGTCCTCATCTTCCTCTTTCATTCCGTCATTCTTCCCAGTAGTTAATGGCCTTTTCCTTCTGGGTGCTACTTTTGGGAGCCAGTTAATAATGAAGTAGATGACTTCTGACAGTAGACTAAGACAAAGGAAGCCTGTGTGCTGGGACATTGTATAAGATGCATTCTTAAGTCTTCTTTTGATGTATTCTCCTGTTGTGTGGCACTTTCACTATCATTTTCAAATTCTCAGGATTTCAAATCATGATGAATCATTTAGTTGTTTTTAAGCATCAGTCTTTCTTGAGTCTGTGAATACAGAATACCAAATGATATTTCAAAATAGGCTTATTTTAATTATTAGTTCCTCTAGACACAATTCTGTTTCTTTTGATTTAAACTCTGCAGGTGTTTCACCAAAACCAACAGCACTTTCAGCAGCAGCCCTCTCCCTGTGGTCCCTGTAGTAGCACCTTATCCTCAGGATGGTTTGGAAATGAAGCCCCTCAGTCACATGAAGGTGCCTGTATGCCTGGCTTCTGCAGTCCCTGATTGTGGTCAGTTGCCTGAGGAGAGCGTCAAGGACAATGTGGAACCAGTCACTACTCAGCGTACCTGCTGTCAGGACGTTGTAAATGACGTCAGCTCTGATCGCGCAGAAGATCCAGCAGAGTTCTGCAGAGGTCAGGAAGGCATGATCAACCTTGGGATTCCAGATCGTCTTCAGTTAGCTAAGAGCTGTGTATGGGAAGGTGATGCTTTCAGAGTTTCCCCTCTATGATTAGTTTACATAGTTCTTGGGAGACTGGGTGGGGTGCTGGGTCCTTCAAGAAAAGATAGGACTCAAGTTAAAGGATTCTTTGAAATTCTGTTATTACTCATGTCCTTCATCTCAGGCTGTCAATCCCATCACACTTGGGAAAATCTATTTGGAAATAGGCTTTGATTTCATTCATAGGGTAACGGAAGATGTGGTGGGAGAATGCATTTTGTGAACATGAGCCCCTTTTTGATTTGAGTTGGTTCTGGAGTGGTAACCTTTCTTTCAGATGGTTATTGTAGGGCTTTTAAGGGGTTGCTTTAATCCTCAGTTGAATTGTATAGCTACTCATGAGAGTTCAACTTTATTTAAACCTTTTAAACCTTCTGTCTCCCTCAAATTCAAACACAAACCAGGTTCTACTTGCGCTCATTTTTCTGTCTTCATGGCTCAAAGTGTGAAGAAGTTTTTAGACTGCTTTGTAAAAATCCACCTTTATCATTTGATAATGCTCCCAAACCTTTCTGTGTTTCAGGAGACAGCTGTGCCCATTCAGAAACAGAGAACAACATTGTAAGTTGGAATGCTCTTATTTTGCCACCTGTCCCAGAGGGCTGTGCTGAAAAGACAACGTGGTCTCCACCTGGCATTCCTTTAGACAGCCTGACAGAGGTCCTTCAGCAGCCCCAGGAAACCTGAGGATGTGCAAACAGCCAGTCATTTTCCGACTTCAAGCCAGTAACTGCACAAAACAGGCCTGGGAGTGAACTGTGTGAAGGACCTTAATTCAGATCAGAGAAAATCATTATTTATTTTTTTGTAGTAGTAATGTCATATGAATGTATCTTAAAATGTGTGCCCTTTTATATTATTTATGCCTTAAATGTTTTCTTCCCCATTCCTTCCTCCCCCTCAGTAGGAAGCAACCTTGTTTTGCATAGTATTCAGTCACCTGGAGGGCCAAGGGGTCCTTCCATGTTTTCTAACAGCTACAGTGATAGCAAGAGCTCCTCATGCAAAGGATCCCATCTCTTGGCTGTTTTGGCTGAGAGGGAATGCAGGGGCCAATTGAAGGTTGCCACCAGCTGGGTTTTCAGGTAGAAAATGATCTTTTAATAGTGTATTCTCAGACTTTTTTTTTTTTTTTTTTTTGAGATGGAGTCTTGCTCTGTCATCCAGGCTGGAGTGCAATGGCTTGATCTCGGCTCACTGTGACATCTGCCTCGCGAGTTCAAGCAATTCTCCCGCCTCAGTCTCCCGAGTAGCTGGGACTACAGGCATACAGGCACCTGCCACCACACCCGGCTAATTGTTTTGTATTTTTAGTAGAGACAAGGTTTCACCATGTTGGTCAGGCTGGTTTTGAACTCCTGATCTCAAGTGATCCACCGGCCTCCACCTCCCAAAGTGCTAGGATTACAGGCGTGAGCCACCACACCCGGCCTGTGTTACCAGACTTTCTGAGAACACTTTGAAGTCAACTGCAGTTGTGACCCGTGTTTATAATAGCAGACCTGGCTGGCGAATTTTACAAGAGTGCCTTCCACAGAAGTGGTGATGTGACCTGTTGACTTTCTATCTGCACGTGGGCACAAGTGATGTTCAGTTTGCTAGGCACTAGTCATGGTGTTGTGGATGTGGTGGAGTGTAAGGTCTTGATGAATTATGGCAGTATGCAGAAAAGAAACCAAGGCCAGAGAGACAAATAATGCCTAATGTCCCACTGCTTTAAAATTAATTTATCAAATGGCTACTGTGGGGCTCTCTTTGACCGTTTCTAGGAGTAGGAACAAAATAAGACATTAAGTGGTGGCTTGAAGAGAAAGATACACATTTTTAGAAGAAAGGGGAAGGCTGCAGGGAGCCCGTCTTGGTGGGAGCTCTGCAGTCTGTTGGATTCGCGTAGGAATATGCTCATGGTGCCCTGACGCTGAAGCTAGTCATCCCCCATCTCCAGCATAGGCAGCAGCCGGCAGGGGTGAGTGTCAGAAAAGACTTACGTTGGAAGAAAAGAGTTGTTTTTTTTTTTTCCTGAAATTTCCTGACACCTCTTTCAGAATGTCACCCTTGTAAACAGGCACCCAAAGCGTTGGTCAGCAGAGCTCCTGACCACGGCTGCCTTTGTGTGACAAGGACATTTGCAGCTGCCTTTGGAAGGCTCTTCACATTAAAAAGCAATAATTATATCAGTGTGTTTCATAGCTTGAGTCAAGCTTTCAAGGATCACTGCTCCTTTTTGCATTATGCATCCATTTGGGGAAAGAAACAGAAAATTATTCTCTTTATATAGAGTCAAGCAATTCCAGCAGAAGTGAAGAAATGTTAGTTTCCCAGAAATCGCAGTGAAATAGAATATAATACTATGTTAACCAACTTTCTGTATAAATGCATCAGTATTCCCTTACATATGTCTATATATTTTATAATAGAACTGTTAGTGAAAATGTGCTTGTTTAAGCTGGGTCACTATGCAAGAGTTACTTCCAGTAGAATGTAGTGAATGTAGTTCCCTAGTCAGATATTAGGGATGCTGTAGACCCAAGTTCTACATTCCAGATGTCCGTGCCTATAGTATACTGGATTTATTCTTCATGTTGCTTAGATGCAATTAGCTCTGGAGGGGGATAGCTGCATCCCTTATTTCTGGGACTAGCAAAGGACGAAGTCCCAGCGTGCAGAATATGAAAACATACCCTGTGTTAGCCAATCAAGTTACAGCAGTGCTGTCACAAAGGGAGTTTCAGAAAACAGGCGAGTCAATGTCCATAGACAGCCATTTTGATTCAGGAAACAGGTGTATTAGCATGAGCCTTAGGTCATGAACTGCTTTTAAAGATTGAGTTTGAATATGGGATCTGTCCACGAGGAAGAGAAAATGGCTTTACCTTTAGGACAATCTCATTGTGGACTGCTTTATTTATATTATTAGTAACGCTGTTTTAAGTGTTATTCTTTTTATTGTATTTTATTTATAAAAAATGCCTTTATATATTGAAATATATAAATATATATATACACACACACACATATATATATATATAATTGCCTTTATGTTTAGGCGGTATGAGTTCTCCCTAAGCGTGAGTTGGCTCTGAACTTTTCTCCCTGCACAGGCACCCAAACCTAATGTCACTTCACCAGGAAATGAGAGGGCATGGTACGGTGTGAGAGAGAGCACTAACGCGTGTTGAATAACTGCTGTGTACCAGGCACTGTGCTCGGTGCTTGTTACTGTTAACTCATTTAAACCTCACAACACATCTACAAAGTTGGCATTAAAATCCCCAAGTCACTCAGTGAGCCATGGGACCTGAATCCGAACCCAGTTTATCTGGAGCCATAATCTGGGCTCCTCCCATTTTTCCATCCTGCTTTCCACAAGCATGGCAGTTCACTCTTTGGATAGAACCAGTCCCGTTCCGTATGCTGTGATCTGTCCCTGCTGTGGAATTCCTCCAAGGCTCCAGTGCGGTAGCCGGAGAAGCTGCCCTCTGGCCTCTGTGGGCAGAGCTCCGCTTATGACTTCGTCTTCCAGGAGTCCACATTTCTCCCCTTGATGCACCCGTCTGCCACCTCCACCTGGAAATTTGAGCTTTACTGTGCTCAGTGATCAGGAAATTGGTCACGCCTCTTCATGTTCCTTCTCATCTAGAATTCTGTGTGATTGTTTTAGCGTTAAACTGCCCTGCTCCCACTGTATCATTTCACTATCTCCTTTTAATGTTTTTCTTTCAGTTTTGCACTGACAGTCTGGTGTCAGGTGCTGCCAGGGTGCAAGTGAAGTGGCAATGTTCTAAACCTTTTGAAGTGTTCTTAGCAAAAGCCTTTCTTTCTGGGTTTTGTTTTTGTCCAATGAGTCGATGAAGACTCAGTGCATCCATCTTGGACTGATGGTGCCACAGATCTCATTCCAGCTCCAGCACTGCCAGGACGTGAAGTTTATGATTGAATTTTACCTGTGTTGCTCTCTTTTAAAGTAATGACTTTGAGATGCATGCTTTGTATCATATTGAAAAGTATGTTTGATATTCCTTAAAGTTGTAATGTTGTGTGTGAAACTGTACATATTTTAAATGATGTAGCTTTGGCAGGTTTTATTTGGTTGACATGATTTTATATTAAAAGAGAACGCTGCTTTCATATAGCTTAGCCCCTGAAGGTGGGGCTACTCCCCGTTTGTACAACGCTGCTTATAGTTTGTGACTGGGGTCGGCGAATGTCTTACTCTGAAATTCTTTGGAGCCTCCACCCCTGTCCTGCCCTGAAACTCCCCTGTGCACACCCCTTCTGTTCTGGCTGCAGAGACCAAGGCCCCGAAGGAGCAGGATCTTGGGCAAGTGTTTTAGGGGAGGCTGAGAACATGCCTGAGCCTGGGGGGCGATGCGGAGGCAGGCCCAGCTCCTCTGGGCAGCTTTGCATTTGTTTGGAAGGAAGGGAGGTGGGTAGGAGAGGAGCTTGGAAGGATGAGGGGGAGTGGTCCTGCCTCACACATTGTTTATTTTTACCGTTAACCTAGGGCCACATTGTTATGAACTCCAGTATAGAAATTTAGCCTTGTGAAAAAGTGTTGTTTTACTGCCCTAAGAAGATACACATCTCTAGGCATCTCTGACTAGACAGCCAACAAAGTCTTTTGCATCGGGTGTGGCCCTTTTGTATTTTATTTCCTGTATTTAAATAAGCCTTCCTTACACCCTAGCCCCAGCGCTGAGAGCTTTGAGGGTAGCTGAAACCCCTTATCTAATAAAGTCTAACTCTGTGAGAACCACAGAACCTTCTTCAGTTTCTCAATTTTCTGTCTCCTTTCAGGCGCCACTTCCCTTGTGCTGGCGGGTCACCCGTTGGCTTTCTTGCCATTTCTTCTCATCTGTGTCTCCTGCAGAGGCGGCTTGGAGTCCCGAGTCTGCTAGTCAGTTGAACAGGCATTCATTTGTGTTTTCACCCAGATTGCAGACACACACACAAACACACACACACACACACTTGGAGCTAGTGAGTCATGCTGGCAGCTGACATTGTGACTCTGGAACGGCCCCCGTGTTCTGTGGGCCAGCTGCCCCAGCCTGGGGGCGGGAAGCTACATTTGCAGTACCTCCGCTCTGTGTCTTGTGGGCTGGGACTCCTGGAGTCGGGGCACTGCAGCGTCAGTGATGTTCTTAAGCTACGGTTGAGCGAAGGAACACACACCTACACACCTTGTTTGTCCCCACTGGCCACACCTGGGACCCAGCCATCAGCCTCTCTCTGCGGGAGTTGCAATGGAAATAGCCCTCTGTTGGCGTGGACATCAGCTCTGATTTATTTAGGAATTGCTCCATCCAGACTTTGTTCTGGAAGCAGCTAGCTTGCTCATACTTCTGTAGCACCACAGACGGTTCCCAGTACCATGGCTGTCACTTGCCCTCAGACACCCAGTGATCCTTCTCTCCCAATTGTGGGTCCTCCTCCTCGTCCTGCCACCTCTGTCTTCCACACGCTGGGCCAGGGCTTCTCTTGTAACCATGTCACTTAGGGCCTTACACCAGCTGGAAAGACTGGGTGTTAAGTGAAAGTGGTAGTTGGTGTCTTAGCTACGTTGGTTTTACGACCAAAGTCTGACAGAAGCGCTCTTCCCAAATCCCACCCGCCTTCCCTATGCCTGTTTGCATCTTCCTCTTTGGACCTCATGGTGTTGCAGTCACTGTGATGGTGACATTCACTGGAGCACTGGTTTCTTGTGCAGGATCCAAACCTGGGGTGGTGGTTGGTGTTTCAAGGCCTAGGAAAAGCGTATGTGGGCAAAGAACAGAGAGATGCTTTGGGAGTGTCCAGATGTTCCTAGAGCTCAAGAGAGACCAAGCGTCACCCTCAGCACCCAGCACTGGTCTCCTTGCATACGAGTCGTCTTTTTCTGGATACAGTCGTGCTTACCTGACTGCACCTCAGCATCTGCTCTGGAGCCCCTCTGTTGCTGCCTTTGCTCCCTGAGAGTGAAGTGGGAGAGGAAAGTTAGTGGCAACTCGCTTCCCTCACTTTCCTTTCCAGCTGGGGGAAAGCCCTAGCCCCCAGGATGATGGGTTCCACACTCACATGGGAACAAGCAGTTGACCAAGGCCTGTAGGAAGGAAGAGAAAAGGAACATGACTTGGCCAGCCCAGCAGAGATCCCAGGAGAACGGCCCTCTCCTTCCCAATGGGTCTGTACTAGGGCCTCAGCAACCCGGAAGGGTATGGCCCCAGGTGCCTGGGTTGGGGGTTTGAGCCCTGAATGGCAACATCTAGCACTGGGGAGAGGGTCAGAATTAAGGAAGAGCCTAGATTCTTCTCCCCCGGCACTGCTGCATCTCTTTTGGATAGCTCAGGGTCTGGCCACCCTGTGGGGTCAAGCAGCCCTTCCTTTCCCATTCCCACTCACAGGGGAAAGTCTCTGGGTGCCGGGCAGCATACTGGAACACCAGTAGAGAGGCCACCGTTGCCACCACCATTCCTGTGCCTGCTGCACCCAACACCGCTGGGTAGGCACTGAAGGGGGGGTCCGCTAGGAGGGGAGAGCACAGGTTACATGGTTTTGAGCCACTGCAGAACTTGGGCCACAGTGGCTTGTAGGGAACCACCAGGGTTCTGGAGAAGCGGTGCCCTGCTCATCCAGTTCCCCCTGCAGCTGACATGCGGGACCCAGAGAACCCGGAGATCAGGTCTCTCCCAAGGCACACGGCGCTCTGTCTGCCTAGTGCTGTGGGGTTTGACTCTCCTGCCAAATCCCGTTTCTGGTGCAGAAGGCAAAAGTCTGGTTATCTTGGTGGCTTGGGGCTGAAGGGAAGTATGCCATAAAATAAGGAATTCCCAGAATGGAGAGGGGGCAGCAGGAAGCCGAGAGCCTGCCTGTAGCCCTGGAGGGGAGACTGAGGCACAGAGTGGGCTCCTGTTCTTAGTCACCGGCACCTTTTCCTTCCTCTCTATTCTGATCACATGAATTAGGGTTCCTAACCCTCAGCCTGGAGCCTCCTGAGCCCCCCAGGGAGGGATGGGAAAGAGCCGTGGTGATTATCTGAGGGGAGAGTGGAGAAGAGGACGGGCTGGGGACGGGAGGATTCAGTAGGACGGGAGCAAATGAACAGAGGAGGGGATGCTCTGTGAAGAGGAAGATGAACCAGGGGCCAGTGCTTTGGAGGAAAGGTGGGTCCCTCCCTGGCATTAGCTGGCACCTGGTATCTTCACCTCAGAGGGATGTCCTGCAGTGTGGTGATTCAGAGCCAGGATGCGGAAGGCATAAAGGACCCCGGGGTCCAAGCCTCCCAGCCGCCGGCCTCGGCTCTCTGGCTCGATGTCACTAGCTGCCGTCTCCCACGCCCCAGCTCCTGGGCCCAGGGCACTGGCCTTCCGCTGCACCAGGAAGCCCGTCAGGTTCCCAGGGCCTGCGATGGCCCATTGAAGCTGCACCTCTCTCCGGTGCTTCCCGTAGGTCAGGCGGCTGATGGTGACGTTGGGAGGAGCTGGATATCCTGGGTGAGGGTGGGGACACAAAGAGGCACATGTATACCTACAGCCACGTGAGCTTGTGCCCCTAGATTTGCTCCTGTCGAGAGGCAGCCTGGCTGTGTGGAAAAGGCACTGGATTGGGGTCTGTGGACCTGAGAAGCCCTGTCTGGTCCCATCAGTTTTTTCGTGTATAAAGTGAAAGGGAGGCAATGCTGCCTGCATGGCGTTCTGTCTGCCACGAGTGTACCAGTCACGCACATGTTGCCCATCTAGCTCTTGAGTCCTGCCTATGCCCAAGGAAGCTCAAGTGCTCACATTTTGGAGTGGGGAATCCTTGTGCCTTTCCACTTAAAGCACTCTGTGATTGTTGGTCTCCCAGCCCCCACCTCACCACACACACACACTCGACCCCTCACTCACTCAGGACCTCCAGCAGCACGCTCCGACTGCTGTTACCCACAGCGTTGCGGGCCACGCATTGGTAGATGCCCCTGTGGTGTGCCGGGTCAGCATCGTAGATGCCCAGGCGCAGCTGGGCACCCTCAGGGTGCAGCATGAATCCTGAAGTGCCATGGTCCACCTGCTGTTGTTGAGGCCCCAGCCAGAGGAGCTGGGCAGGTGGTGTGCCCCCGCGGAGTGAGCACTCCAGCCAGGCCTCTCCCCCCTCCAACACTGACACGCGGGGCTCAGCCACGTCCAGCTGTGGGGCTTCTGCGGGGACAGAGAGGAAGAGGCTGGCTAGTGGGAGGGCCTGGGGACAAGGTGCTGGCCAGCATTGGAAGGGATGGAGAGGAGACGGAGCGGGAGTGCTGCAGAGTTGATAATGAGGCTTGTCTGGGGCCAGTCTGCTTTCTCTTCACATTCTCATTCTACGCCAAGTTCCTGTCGCAGTGTGCTCCAGGGCTTGCTGATATAGGATAAAATCAGCAGTGTTCCTCCCTGCTCCTTCCCTGCCCCACCCTAGCCTCGGCTCCTGCAGGCAGGGGCCCTGCCTTACTCGTCTCTGCATGAACAGCCCCTTCCAGCACCTGTCCTCCCTCCCACTAGTGGCCCCCACCTCCTGGCTGGCTCCAGGCGTAGCGCTGGGCCCATAGCAGGCGCTCAGATTTTATGGACTGACTTATTAAAGACCCAGACTCTCAGGTGTCAATGAATCTCCTACGATGGAATTTCCGGTCCTGAGACTGAGTAATAGGGAAGGAAATATTTGGGGTTGAGGCCTCCCTAGAGCGCTGAGAACATGCTAGTTACCAAGCCTTTGGAGACCAAGAAGTAAACCATTCTGTGAGAACTGTTGTATGTGACAGCTTCTCTGTTTGCTTTTCTTACATTTTTTTTTTACTTTGATATGTAATTCTTTTTTCCTGGTTGCAGTAAATAGACTGGCAGAGCCAGATGAAGACAAGGAGGAACCAGACCAAAACCAGAGTAAGAGAGGTAAAGAACTGACTTTGGAAACATTAATGCAAATCAACAGTATAATCAGGCATCTCACGCAAATCCATGTAAATGAAGACTATGCAATTGACATTTCCACGTCACCTAGATCAGTGCTATCCAATATTGTAGTGACCAGCCACGTCAATATGGGAACTTGAAATGTGGCCAGGCCAGATTGAGATGTGCAGTAATTGTATATATACCAGATTTTAAAGATAAGATGTCAAATATCTAGTTAATAATTTTTATGATTACATGTTGAAATGATAACATATTGGATATATTGAGTTAACTAAAGTGTTTCACTTGTTTCTTCTCCTTTTTAAATGTAGCTGCTAGAATATTTTAGATCACATATATAGCTCACATTATATTTTTATTATACAACTCTGACCTAGCCTAACCCCCTCATTTTTATGGATCAAAGAAAACTTGAGTCCCTGGGAGCTTAGCTCCTCCCTACCTCCTAGCTTCTCCGTCCTCATTGACTCGCTTTCCATGCCAGCACAGCCACCCCCCAAGATCTCTTTCTTCTGGTTCCAAAGGGTTGCTCCTCCTGTCCCAGTCCCAGAACAAACTTGCTAGCCCCTACTCACCCAGCTGGAGGTGGCAGTGGGGGTCAGGGGTCCTGAGCAGGTGAGTGCCCCGGCAGGTGAACTCTCTGCCAGCCAGATCTTCCTGCGCCTGCAGGAGGTGAACGGCCGTCGAGGAGCTGCTGCTGCCCAGGGGCTGCTGCTGTTCGTCAAGCCAGCTCAGCGTGGCGGGGGGCTCGCCGCCAGGCCACTCACAGCTCAGCATGATGAACTGGTGCCCCACTGTGGTTGTGCTCCAGCAGGTGGGCCTCCCGAGAGGCTCCCCTGGAAAGAATGATGG